TGTTAACCAATTGAATTTCCTCCTCATTGCTGTAGTTCTAAAAGTTAGCAGACTCATTTCTCAGCCAATCCACTACCAATTTAGAGTCACCCTCTATGACTAAATGAGTGATATTCAGATTGATTGCCCTTTTAGTTCCTTCAATAATGGCTGAGATCTCAGCTTTCAGAGAGTCACCCAAACCGATTGGTCCTGGATACAGAGCAATTATCACTCCCTCCTCATTCCTTAAGACACCCCAATATCTGAAGGACCTGGATTACCCATACTGCTTCCATCAAAGTTAAGTTTAACAAACCCTCTAGGGGGAGGAGTCCAAGCCGGGGAGGAAGTGTCTTTGACCATATCTGAACTTGCAATTTCCTTCCAATTTCTAAGCAGATCATCTATTGAAAAATCTTTAAAAATACCCAGAGATTTCAGCCAATGAACCGCTCTGATCTGAATCAGTTCCAGAATTTTTTACAGATTTCTTTCCCTATATGAGAAAATTCTCCCGTTTCTTTCTTCCCATATGGTGTAGCAAACAGCAGCCCTGAGACATTTCCACATAACTTTTTCTCTTTTTTTTCGGCCAACTAAACAAGGAGGGAGCAAAGAGACTTCGAACATCTGGTGGAGGAGACCAACTACGACCAAACAGAGATGAACACCATTCCCAAATGTTATTCGTAACAGAGGAGGATAACAGTAAATGGCAACTAGTCTCACCTTCAGCCTTGCATAGAACACACCAGTGGGGAGATAAACAATTCAAAGGCCTCTTTTTCTGAAGGAGATCACATGTGTTAACTCTATCCAGGATTGCTTCCCAACAAAAGCTCCCTACCTTCGGAGGAATCGGTGTACACCAGACTTCCTTAACCGGAAAAGGCTGCCCTAATGGACCCATTGGGTGAACTAAGACTTCGAAGAAAGATGCACAAGAGAACGTTCCAGAGGCTGTTAAAGACCTGACACTTCTATCTGAATTTGAGGGATCTAGGAAGACACCTTCTAAAATATTGAGAAGAGACAAGGTACTATTCAGTTCTGACTCCCTAACTGCTCTTCTAAGACCCAAGTTCCACCCGAAACCTGAGGAAGCTTGTGAGGGCACCAAGAAATTGGAAATAGGCATATTTTTCAGATTAAACGGGGCAAACAGAGAAGGGAACTAATCCTTCAAAGGAGAATCCCCAATCCAGACATCTTCCCAGAGTTTTATGAGGTTACCGGAGTGCAACTCATACCTTGTCCATGGAATGAAGAGAGGCAAGGCATCTTGAATGGCTTTCCAGGGAGAAGCTCTTGTAGACCTGGCCGAGATTCCAGCAGCCCATCCATTGCTTGTGAGCCCATGAATACTCTCCACTATCTTCACCCACAACCTCTCTTTCTCTAGGGGAAACTGCCATAGCCATTTACCCAACAAGGCCATGTTCCTCTTTTGAATATTTCCTAACCCTAGACTTCCACATTGTTTGCTTCTGCTCACCATATCCCACCTAACCCTATGATCCTTCTTCTCCTCCTCCCCCGGGTCCCATAGGAAATCCCTCATTAATTTCTCCAACCTTTTGGAAATCCTCCCAGGCATTTTAAAAACTGACAAGAAATAAATAGGAAGGTTGGCAAGGGTAGCTTTAATTAAAGTAGCTCTCCCTCCCAAGGAAAGATAATTCCTCTTCCAGGAGGCTAGCCGCTTCTCAAACCTCTCTACCATCGAATCCCAAAAATTTTGTCTCATGGGGTTATCCCCAAGAGGTAGCCCCAAGTACTTCATTGGCCACATGGGCACCGCACACCCTAACAAATCAGCATACTCTTCCAACTCTCTCTCCTCAAGATTTATCCCAGCTATGCACCTTTTGTCAATGTTCACTTTTAAATTAGACATTTGCTCAAACAGCTGAATGCTAAGATTCAAATTCCTAAACCAACTGCAATCACCTTCTTCACAAAAAAGGATTGTATCATCTGCAAATTGGAGGTGAGTAAGGGGAACCCCATCCTTCCCGACTCTCCAACCTTTTATTAAGTTCCTTAACTCTGCTCTAGAAACCAATCTTCCCAATAATGGAGATAGGGGATCTCTTTGCCTTAGTTCTCTTAAAGCTGGGAAAAAATCCACCAATGATCCATTCACCCAGATGGAATAATGGCAAGTTTTCACACACCCCAAGACCCAGTTACACCACCTCTCTTCGAACCCATAGTTTAGCATTACATGAAGCAAAAATGACCAATCCACTAAGTCATACGCCTTTTCCAGATCCAATTTACATACCACACCTTTCTTCCCAGATCTTTTGAAGTCCTACACACTTTCATTTGCTACTAGAATTTGATCAATAATCTGTCTCCCCTCGAAAAAAAAGCTCCTTGGTTAGGTTCAATGATATTTGGGAGGACTTTCTTGATCCTACAGGCCATCACCTTTGTTATGATCTTATAAAGATTATTCACCAAATTGATCGGCTTAAAATCTTTTGGCTGAATGGCTTCATTCTTCTTGGGAATTAATGCCACAAATGTGGAGTTCAAACCAGGATTAATTACACCCCTGCTGTAGAATTCCTCAAATACTCCCACAATGTCCTCCTTTATTATGACCCAACAGTCCTGGTAAAATGCTAAAGTGAACCCATCTGGACCTAGAGCTTTTGAATGATTCATAGAGAGCACTGCCTTTTTGATTTCTTCCACCTCAAATTTTCTTTCTAACCACTCTCTCAACTCAGAATTCAATGTGGGCCATTCCACACCTTCAATCCACACTCTCGGATTTAGAGGCTTCCTAAAGATCGACCTGAAATGATTAGCAAAAGCCTCTGCTATTTCATTTTGATGAACTAAAGTAACACCCTCCACCTCTAACTTGGAAACAAAATTTTTTCTCCTCCCATTGCTAGGGCATGAAAATATTTTGTGTTCCTATCACCCTTCTTAATCCACTTACACCTCGATTTTTGCCTCCAGCTAATCTCCTCTTTAAACAAAATATCCTTCAACTGCTTTCTTAAGTTCCACCTTAGTTCCCTATCTCTTTCCTCAATACTCCCATCTTCTTCTTAGTCAAAATGCTAAAGTGAACCCATCTGGACCTTGAGAGACATTCCTCTCAAAAGTTGTTATTTTCGGGTATATGGGTCGACCCAACCCATTTCTTCCACGTGACAACCTTGAGAGAGATGCTCCTCTTAAAAATCATTATTTCGGGTATACAGGCCATCCCAACTCATTTCCACATTTATAGGTGAGGGTAGGTGGGTTAGTATGGGTGAGGGTGGGTAAGGGTCAATATGGATGGGTCAAGTGGGTCAATATGGGTGGGTCAGGGTGGGTGAGGATTAGGGTTGGTTATGACCTTTTAACAAGGATTGATGATGGGTCATGGTGGGTTGGTGGGTCAGTATGGGTGGGTTGGTATTCAACCCTTACCCAACCCACCCATTTGCCACCCCTATCAAAAGGCACATGCCTGGTGCGCCTTGCACTTCAACCCAGGTATGTGCCTTTTGAAAGTTTGTGCATTTTTTTTCTGTTTTTTTTTTTTTGTGTTTAGTAGTTGGGATGGGGGCTCTACCCCCAGACCCCAACCCCGATCAAGCCCCTCGAGGCAAGCCCGAACAACTGTTTCTGGTATGTATTTTAATTTGAGAATAGATTTTTTAAAGCATTTATTTTAAAACTTAAGTTTATATTTTTAATTAATTGTGTTTAATATTTTATTAATTTGCATTTTGACGCTTTTGACATTTTGGCTCAGTTTGGAAAGGTTTTGCACTCTACATATTTGCATTTGTACTCCTTCCAAATTGAGCCATTGGCATTTTTTTTGAATTTTTGGGTATTTTTTTATTTTTTTTGCGCCTTGCTTCATTAAGGTGTGCACCTCGCCTTGCGTCTTGCACCTTGGGCGCAAAATGGCCCTTCCACTTTTTTTTTGTGCCTTTTGCTTTTAAAACACTGGTTGTAACCTTTAGATGGGTGCAAAGATAGAAAATATCATGGCTGTTGTTTTGGCTGAACATGGGGGTGCACGGGAAGACATGTTTTCGTCTCAGTTATAATTGGTTATAAATATGGAATAGGTGGTTAACCTGGTCTACATGGGGGGAGTTCAAGTGATGTAAAATGAAAGAGGGAGATTATCCTACCCAGCAACTGTTTATAAAGGCTTCTCTTTGTCTTCTGTTTGTCAAGCAAATATGGAAGTGATTAGCTGATGTTGTCCAACAACTTAAATCTCTATTTAAACAATTATTGGGATCTTGATAAAATTTGTTTGTTAGCAACTAGTTTGTATATACCCCCAATAAGTCTCCAATTCTGTAATCCCTAATATTTGCAGCAGCAAAAGGTTTTTGGATTCAGTTTTACAAATATTGAGTTTGGTACTTTGGATAATTTTGAATTGCTATAGAAGCCTTCCATCACTTTCATGAAATCGTCCTTCACCACATGCCAGTACCTTTGAAGAAAGACATGGAGAAACGTTCTGATCCAGGTGGCTTATCTCCACTCAGCTCTTTCAGTGCTTCCCCCACCTCCTTAGTAAAACTTTTTTCCAACCGGATGCACCCCTCTCTTGAGATCTGGTCAAGTTGCGAGCACTCCAACTTGTTTTTGGCACCACCTTCACTTGAGAATAGATGTTTATAGAAATTAACAACAGTAGCTTGACTTAACTCTGCATCACTGATAAAGATGGTGTTATTGATCTGCATCTTACATATGGTGTTGCATTGTCTCCTTCCACACATGATCTTATGAAACGCTTTGAATTCCTATCACCAGATCTCAACCATTGTACTCTGGCTTGTTCTTTCTAATTAACTTAATGGAAATAACTTCTTTTTAATTAACCTAATCTGGTAAGTTGTGTTAAAAATCTTGTCTTGTCTGTCAATTATCTATGGATCTATAGTCTGTTATTTTCTAGATTCTCTTGAACTTGGTTACTTAATTGTGTATTACTTGTTTCCTAAGGCAACTGATGGTGATACATTTAACAGATACATTTTAGAGGATATCCGTCTGATCTTAGCCCCTGTGAAGGTGAAGAAAGTGTTAAATGGAGCTTCATTAATTCATTGAAGGAGGTTAGAATATAATTGTTTCTGTTCAGTTTGTTATTATGTATTATTATTTTTAATTTTTTTTGCAGGATTCATTTCATCTGCTGTAGTAATTTTTGAAAACTGTCTTTGTAGCCTTGTCTAGTGTAAGTGCTTAAAGATGAGTTGAACCCTGACATTTACTGAATTGAGAATGTGACTTGTTCTAGCATGGTTTCTGTGTTCTCTGTTGTTTTTCTTTGTTGTTGATGTTGCTGATGACCATACATAAGAATCTACCTTCAGTTTATAAATTATTACTATATAAAATGAGTGAAAAGATACCCATCTAAAAGTAAGAAAGTTTAAAAACTGAGCTTGTATTTGCTTTCTTCTGCCATTTTCTTTTGATCTAAAAGAATTCAAGTTTAGTAGGTGAGAACCCTCTTGTGTCTCAAAACCATGGAACCAAATTTTAAGTTTGGTGGTTCAACCTGGAAGTTAAAACAATTTTGCAGAAAACCAAAAGTTTGACTTCTTGGTGGTCATTGTCAACTTAGTTCGTACCAGAATGAAACAGAATATGGAAGCATGTTTTCAGAAGTATACACACCCAAAGAGAAGTATCGTATATATGTTTTCTATACAAGGCTGAGAAAGGACCATTATGTCCCTCTCTTACAAGAAAGAATAAAAAAGAATACAGTGTACATATTTTACAGCATAAAAAGGTGCTCCCAAAAGCCAAAAAGGAAAGAACATATAAGACTGAAATCTTCAGTCTCTACAATCCTATTGATGGTGCAGATAGGTCAATAATTTGTCTGTTATGTTATCCATATATTTCAACATGGGTTCCATATCCATTCCAAATATGTAGGTTCCTAGTGTTGCTTAATTCCACATCCATTGCATATCTGTGTTGCACCCTTGGTTTATCTTTCTTCTGCTTATCCAATGCTTCACTAGAGGCTGATATTTTTGTGAGGTTCATTTATTGCAGTACCTGTTTCCTGTCATATACATGTGATAAACTGATAATTGAGGTATCCCACATATACCCATTAAAGGGGCACTATATATCAGATGACTTTGAACTTTTTTTATTTGTTTTTTATTTGTTTTGGTGTGAGGTATCTTTTATCTGAATTTTTCCTTGGACGTATAGCCAATTCATGTCTTATACTGTTGATACTGTATACATGTTTCCTGTCATATACATGTGATACTGTTGATATAATAATTTTGGAATTGAAAATGATAGATAAAATTCATATGCTGGATAGCATTGGCATTCCTCACTAAGCATGTTATATCCACAGGCATCGTACATAATCAATGGGAACTGCAAGAATGTCATGAATATGTCCCAGTCTGATCAGGTTGATCTCTGGCGATCGGTTATGAATGGTATTGTCTCCTATAAGTAAGAACCATATATTGTGAAAGTTAATTTAACTTTGTTATCTTGATTCAAGGTGCTTTTTTGTCTCTTTTTAAATTTCTAATAATGGGAATTCTATTTGTAACCAGAGATGATGCATTTCAATATGTTGACTTTATGTATGTTGTGAAGGATAGAAGACCTTACTAAATGGAACGAGTAGCTTGTCTGAAGTGTCAACAAAGAGGAAACTGGCACCCAAACTGTACTATATCTTTATATGAACCTGTAGGCTATAAAGTATGATTTGTATCAGGCCACTTGAAAATTGAAATTGCATCTCGAAGTTGCAGATGGCTGAGTTTCTTTTTTATGTTTTTTCCTTGAACTTTAGGCCCTCTCTAACTTTAAGGATGAAATTGTGTCTAGAATGGGAATACCTTCTCCGACTGGTTTAAATTGGAACCTGGGCTTTAGGAGAGGCTTAAGGGAAATTGAGTGTACATTCTTGATTCACCTACTTGACATTTTGGGTGAAGCTCTCTTGGACCCAAACCTTGAGGACTCTTGGTTAGTCTCACTAGACAGTCTCTTTACCAGTCCCTCTTTTTATCAAGTCCTTGCTTTGCCTAATCCTCAAGGGGTGGACTTCCTGGTGAAAGAAATTTGGAGTAAGCCTATTCCACATAAAATTCAAGCTTTCTGCTTGGGAAATTTCTTTGGAAAGGTAACTCTTTGTGATATGCTGCAGAGAACTGAGAAGAAGGCCTTTTTCTTGCCTTTCTCCTCATATGTGATTATGTTGGAGTTCGAGTAGTGGCGAGAACTTCTCCCATTTATTAATCTCCTATTCCTTTGTGAATTTGGGAGTTTTTCTGTGCTCTTTTTGGTTACAGGTGGGACTCCCTCAAGATGTTGTGGGCATTTTCAATCCTAACTTCTTGAGGCTGCCAAAGAAAAGAGGGAAAGTACTTTGGAAAGTTACTAAGGCATCTATTAGTTGGGTAGTTTGGGATGAGAGGAATAATAGAATATTTATTGGAAAAAGCAGAACTTTGGAGGAGGTAATAGGCAACATAAAATTGAAGGTAGCACTGTGGGTTAAGACCTTGGCAAGCTTCCAAAATTTCTGTCACTTACATCTTAAGAGCCTGGACTGAAGTAGCACAGTTCTCGAGAGAAAAAGAAAGAATAAGAGTGGAGTGGAAACCCCCATAAGGCAACAAATTAAAAGTTAATTGTGATGGGAGCTCCTTTGGTAACCCGAGTATGGCAAGGATAGGAGGGGTAATCAGAAGCTTTGAGAGTAGGATTTTGGCTTTATTTTCAGGGCTAATTGGTATTGGAAACTCCCTGAATGGCTGAATTGTTGGCACTGCTGCAAGGTCTTAAGTTAGCAAAGAAACTGGGCTATAGACAGGTGGAGGTAGAAGGGGATTCAAAAGTAATTATTTCATGGGCAAATTGCAATAGACATTATCCCATGGTATCTCAAACATGCTATAAGGGAGGTGGAAAGGATTTCAAAGGACATAAATGCCGAAGTCAAGTGGGTAAGGAGTGCAAATGAGTTAGTGGACTCCCTTGCTAAACAAGGGGTAACGAGGCAGCAACTGTTTTTGGCTTCTATGTAAACTTGATTTTGATTGGTTGGGGATGATGTTCCTGTCATCAAATTGTACTAACCTTATCTATAATCAAATATAAAAAAAATAAATTTTCTGCTTATTAAAAAAGGGCAAACTGTTCTCCTGGTCATCAGTACAGCTGAGTTTGGATAGATCAAATATTAGTTCTCTTTTTGAGTTTTGAAAATCTAAACACAAAAGGGATAATGGTCTAAAGCCCTTTTTGTATTTCCTTATTATATTGTATTTCCCGTTGTACAGCCTCAGGTTGTACAAAGGCTTATTTCTATATATTAATGAGTGATACCTTATCTTGTCTTTAAAAGAAAAAAAAAATCTAACAAAACCCATCAAAATCAAAGTGTTGGAAAAGCCCAATCAAATCTTTGTATTGATGCTATATTAAGTTATTAACTTGCAAAGATCAAGGGCTGAACTGCTTGCTGTGTTGCAGGCTTAAGAATTGGTAAAATGATGAATGTAAGGAATCTCAAGGTGGATGGGGACACAAAGACAGTGGTGAGATGGTTAAGTATAATAGACAATGAACATGGAAATATCTAGGTGTAATGAGGGAATTGGGTGCATAGATCAGCAATAAAGGTTGTAATTGTAATCAAAGGCTAGGTGGTAATACCAGCCTGATTTGTCTTTGTAAATAAAAATTCTTTTATCTTAACCAGTAATGGTTACATGTTACTTATCAAGAAAATAAACCCAAGGGACAAGATTTATATGATTCAACCAGAGGCCCTATCCCTGATATCCATGGGAGGAGGGATTAAGTCACAATGAAAATGAAGACTACAAAGACCATGAGCTGACCTTTCCACTCACTCTCTGAAACCCTTAATGAATATGACCAATGAGACAATGGCTTATACTAAATGGACAATCCCAGAATTTTGGGTAGGCCCCTCACTATTACCTGCAAGCACCCCACTAATCTCAGAGAGCCCCAGGTTACTTGTTGAATAGCCATCAATATTGATGTTAAATTTACTTAACTGGTGGTGGAGAGGGCTAATACAATGGAATTCTACCATTTGTTAGAGGACCTTAAAATGACCTGCCAAAGTCTGAAAATATTCCTCCAAATCCTTAGTCAACACCTACTAGGCTGCCCTGATAGTGAGTCTTTTTGGAAAATTTTAGAAGTTCTTTTCTTTCTACCATTGCCAGGATATCTCACCAACAATCTTGCCTCCTTTTCTTCTTGGAGTGGGGGGGTGGGGTGTTGGGGTTTGGGATTCAGTTCCAAAGAATCTCCAAGATATCACTTAAGATACACAAAAGATGCCAAGGGCCATTGGTTGGTGCAGTGGTAAAATCTTGAGCTGACATTCAGGGGAATGCATGCTTTAGTTTGAAAGAGCCACTGTGTGCTTCAATGCCAAAAGTTCCATATCCAGTCCACTGTCCCAGGACTCTGGATAACTGCAACCAACAACGGATAATGGCTATTTTATGTCCAAATAGATGCCAAATGATGATGAGATATGATACCAGATTTCGGAAATAAAATGGAATTGGATAAACAAATTGGGGGGTCTCGATTTTCCATTTTCTAGGCACTATATAAGCAGGTATTTTTGCATGTTTCTCTCTGTATTTTTTCAATAGAAAGCCCTAATTTTTTTCAGAACAAGAATTTTCCACAATTTCTGGTAAGGAAAATTCATAGGAATGTTATAATTACCTATTAGAGAGTTAAAGAAAGAAGAAGAGAGATGCTCTTTTTTTGATGAATGAAGAAGAGAGATACTCTTAAGGATCAGTAAACCATGCTATCAAGATGGCAAGGCCTCTTTAGGGGTGTCAAATGAGACAAACTGTTCCGATGCTCATGATTACCATGGCTTTTAAAGAAAATGAAATTCTAAATGGATTCCCACAAGGAATTTGAAGCAAAAAGTCATACTGTGTGAAATGAAGCATTACGGACATTGTATCAAGGACCTTCCTAGAATCTTACCTTGTACACAACATCAAAGTTGATGTTTTGAAAGGAAGAACCCCAACTTTAGCATTACAAACATTGTCATTTTATGTAATCCAGATCTTTTTGAGAGGGGAAACATGGAAGTGCCCAACTTAATTATTTCTTAGTTGTTGAAGGATTTATATAATTTGTTATATATATATATATATATTAATTTACTATCTATGTGATTGATAATTGTAAGGTCACTGATTGGAGTGAAATAAAAATGACATGGTTGGGATTAAATGTTGTTCGAGAAGCATGAATTTGTCTTGTGATTTTCCCCTATTTGAAGTAGAAAATCCAGTAGCTTTAGATAGCAATGAACTAGATAATCTTATCAAAGCCTATTTAGATTTTTTAATCTTCTTACACAGTTGTTTGATTTTTGGACCTGAAGCATGAGAGGTAGACCTAATATGATTAGTTAAACTATTTAATAAGATAATCAAAACAAAGAGAATGCATGACAAATGGAGAAAGAGCACCATGATGTCTATGTTTAAGAACAAAGGCAATATAAAAAATTGCAATAATTATTGTGGGGAAAACTTTGCAAGTGATTGGTTGAGCAAAGGTTATATTATATGAAGTAAGTATATCAGAAAACCAATCGGTTTTATTCTAGGGATATCAATCATGGCTTCTAAATGATAGCTTATTCTTTCAACGTGTGCTTGGCTTGGTTTGAAAGCCTTGTATTCATCCTATTTTTTAATCAATGAAATATTCTGGTTGTCTATAAAAAAACATAATAGTAATATGATGGATTTTGGAAAAGGAGTGCCAAATATGTATGTGGACCTTATTAGAGTTTCTAGTTACAATGGAGCTTCACCAAGGCTTAACACTTGGCCCTTGTTTGTTTACACTAGTCATGGATGAATTGATTAATCATATTTGGGAGAAACTCCCATGGTATATGCCATTTTCTGATGATGTAGTATTATTAATTGATGAAATTGGAGTGGTTACGTATAGAATTAGATTTATGGATACATGCTTTTAAAATAAAATAGGCTAAATGAAAATATATGCAATGTAAATTTAATTATAATAAACATGAAGATCTAGGTAAAATTAAGACTGGAAATGAAGAGATATCTCAGTAATCTTTCATTACCTTGACTCAATTTCCTGTTGAGTCTATTCTCAAATCCTTCATTACCCAATTTCCTGTTGATTATGCATCGTAAAATTTCTCCTCAATTTTGATTATATTTTGCATCAGGTAACATGGAAGGCTTCCTTCGTGTTTCATCCAAGCTTAAGCTTGGAGCAATTGAAGAGGAACCCAAAATAAACGCCATTTCATGCACCATACAGCCTCGACAAGCCATTGATGAGAAAGATAATACTGGACCAAGCCGATCAGGTTTCCTTTGCTACTTTGCCATTCTTTGATACATGCATATTGCACTTTTAGCATTTTTTAATTTGTGCAATACAACATCTTTGCTACTTGCTTTATTAATATTTTGAAATGTTTTTGGAATGAAATGACCAGAAAAAACTACCTACATTTATTTTTATAAGTAGCAATTTGGCATGATCCTATAAACCCAGTGACTGCAACCTTACAGGTTAAGTTTAAACCAAACCCAGAGCTTGACCTGTTTCTCTTCTGGGTCATCGAGTCAGTAGTTCAGCTGTCTGAATCAATGAATCAATCCATGATGTCATCAACATAAAAAAAATCAAAAAAATAAAATAGTAAGTACCTGGTAACACATCAAATTCAATTGTCTGGATCAATGAGTCAATCCATGATGTCATCAACATAAATAAGTTTCAAAAAATAAAATAATACAAGAACCTTTTAACATGGTGAATGGATCAGATGGATCAACAAAGCACCAGAGTTGATGGGTCATTGACCTAGTCAATGGTTTTTTTGTAAAATAGTGGGTTGGAGGTTGACCCAAACTGGTTCTGTGACTGAGCGACCAGTCTGACCGGCCTGGTCAATGATGGGTCAAAAATGTTGGGTTAAAATTTTCTCTTCATGATGGCATTGACTCAGTCTATGTTTTTTTGTAAAATAGCAGGTTGGAAGTTGACCCAAACTGGTACTGTGACTGAACCACTGGTCCCACTGGCCTGGTCAATGATGGGTTGAAAACGTTGGGTTGGGTATTATAGGTTTCTATTACTATGGAAATGTACATGATAGTTGATGTTATCAAAAAATTTTCTCTTCATGTTGTCATTGACCTAGTCAATGGTTTTCAGTGTAGCTGTTGCTTTTCTTTTCCTTGTCTGATTGGTCTCTATTTCTGTATTAGAATGTCCTCTGTTCAGGGATGCCAAATAAGGTATGTTGATATTGACCTTTTAGTTTCTCTTACACTAGAACATAGCCACATAGACAATACTGAAATTACATAATTTACCAGTGTATCAACAAATGCAGATGGGTGGGTATTGTATGCAGTGTTTTAAAAGCGTAAGGCGCAAAAAAAGTGCAACGGCCAATTTGCGCCTGAGGGGTGCAAGGCGAGGCACATGCCTTTTTGAAGCTAGGCACAAAAATACAAAAAATGTTAAAAAATAAAAAAAGTTGGAAAATTCAAAAAAATGCCAAAAAAAATTAAAAAAATGCGAAAAATTCATTAAATATTAAACATAATGTTAATAAAAAATATAAACTTATTTTTTAAAATAAATGTTTTAAAAAATATATTATCTAAAATTAAAATACATAAACATAACATGTAAAGCGTATTCAAGTGAAAATTTAAAAATAAAAGCAAACATTATAAAGCATTTTCAAGCATGTAAAACCCACAATCTCTTTTTTTCCTCAACTGTATTACTTCAAATAGCTAATGTGATGTAAAACATATTGCATTCTTGATTCTATGAGTCACCTTTGTACATGCCCCTTGAGGCAAGCCCGAACAAGTCCATCTTAGGGTCTTAAATTCTTATTTCTCACATAAAAAATAATGATTTTATAATTTTAATTGCCTTTTAAGAAGATATTTTATTGGAATGAATGAATGGACAACATTAGCAAATGAGTGGACTTGTTTGGTCTTGCCTTGAGGGGCGTGGTTGGGGTTCCAGGGGCAGAGCCCCCTGCCCAGCGGTTAAGCTAAAAAAAAAAGCAAAAAGCACAGAATTTTAAAAAGGTGCATGCCTGGGCTGAGGCGCAAGGCGCATCAGGTGCATGCCTAGGCACACCGGGCATGTGCCTAGGACTTGGGCGAGGCGCATCCCCTAAATTGCGCCTCACCTGTGCGCCTAGGCGTGCCTTTTAAATCACTGATTGTATGTTGAATTACAAATGGTATGCCATGATGCTTTATTATGTGGGTTTTACAATATTGTATACTTCTATCATTGTCACATTGACATCTTAAACCTTTAGTCATTTGGAGTGAACAGTAGTTATTCCTTCCATTTTTCCTTTTTTGTTCTCACATTTTTCTTGTTTCTTTTGTTTTTTTTTAAATTATTGATGCTCTCATAATTTGGGGCTCTGGTCAGGCAGAATTCCAGTTAGGTTGTATGTGAGGAGTGTTGGTGAGGACCTTGATGATTTAGAGGATGCACCTCTTGTTGATTCTTTTGACAAAATCATGTACATAAATCGACCTGTTGAGATTCAGAAGAAAGAAGGTATGATGAAATGATCTTGACCGCTTCCTATTTCTTTGTTTTCATATTATCCTATACCCTTGTGCATTCTAGTTTGATAGTCATTGAATATTAAACTGTAAGAAAATGCAGACAAGGCATATATACCTGAATAAGGTGCCAGAAAAAATATTAAAAGATCTCTCATCTTCCTGGCCCAAAGGACCATAAAGCCAAGGATATACAAAAGATTCTAATAAAACTGAACTTCAATGGGAGCTCAACCTCCTGAAAATGAGTTACAGTGGAGAGGTGAGAGGGGTGGGGAGAGGAAGGAAACAGAGAGAGCTGAGAAAGTAAGGATTCAATTATTCTCTTCTGATCAGTTCGTTACATAACAACCTCATTTTCTAATGATTAAACAACCTCCATGCTGCTGGTGCAAGCTGTAGTGGGCTGACGTGTCCTGGTGTAAATATATCTAATTGAAAGCTTGTATGGAACAGTATCTCCGCCCTCTGGAACCTGGGTGGCCTGGGCTGTGTCCTGGACCTGTGCTTAACAAGGAGCACTGCCTTGGCCCGTATCAATTCCCCCCTCCTTAAGAGCAACCTTGTCCTCAAGGTTAAGATGGCCAAAGAATTGTTGCAGTTTAGTAGTCTTCCCATGTAGCATCTTCTATGGGAAGGTTAGTCCACTCAACCAGTGTTTGCTTGATGAATTTGCAGCAAGATTTAACCCATCTGAAATCGACCAGCTTGTGGGGTTTGGTTAGTAACTCCCCTTGCTCAAAGAACTCAGGTAGAGTTGGACTAGCTGGGGGTGCATTGGTGTTCTCAGGCTTCAAGAGTGATACATGGAACACTGGGTGTAAGTTGGAACCTGGGGAAAGGGCCAGTTTATAAGCTATCTGTCCTACCCTTTGTAGAATTTGGAAGGGTCCAAAATATCGAGAGAATTTCTGGGTTGCTCTATTGGCCAATGACAATTGCCGGTAAGGCTGCAGTTTCAAATATACACAATCTCCCACTTTGTACTAAACTTCTTGGTTCCTTTTACCGTAGACTGCCTTCATGTGCTTTTGTTTTTTTTTTATCAGTACTGCCTTCATGTGCCGTTGAGCCTGATGCAGGTGGGCCTTTAGAGCCTTGAGGGTCTCATCTCTTGCAATTAGCTGGTCCTCTACCTCAGCTACAGAGGTGGACCCCTTCTCGTATGGGAGGATTGGAGGGGGTTCTGGGCCATACAAGGCCTTGAAAGGAGTGGTACCCGTGGACACCTGATAAGTGGTATTATTACCAATATTCTGCCCAAGGAAGCCATTGAACCCATTTGGTTGGTCTATCTCCTACAAAGCACCATAGATAAGTCTCGAGGCAGCAGTTCACCACCTCTGTCTGGCCATCAGATTAAGGGTGGTAACTTGTGGAGTGGCATAATTGAGTGCCCTGCAAGTGGAAAACTTCTTGATTGAAATGGCTCATGAATGTGGGGTCGCGGTCTGTGACAATGGCAGTGTCGCAGTGGGGGTTCCATGCAACCTTGCTACTTTTTTTGATGAATGACCTTGCTACTTCTTGAACAAAGGCCTTGGCCACTTGTGTTGCTGAGTAGGGGTGGGACAGGGGTATGAAGTGAGCATACTTGCTCAATCTGTCAACCACCATTAATGTCATTGTTTTCTCTGTTGATTTTGGCAACCCAGACATAAAATCCATGAGGATCTTGTCCGATACCTGGTCGGGGATGGGCAAGGCCTGAAGAAGCCCATCTGGAGCCTGTGTACTATACTTCTGCTGCTGACAAATATGGCAGGCCACAATGTAGTCTTGGATCATCTTCTTCATTCCGTGCCAATAATGGTATTCAGCCAACCGCTTGTATGTCCTTAGGACCCAGGAGTGACCTCCTGGTGGTGTTTCATGGAAGAGACGGATCAAATCCTTAATATAGGCTGAGTGAGGGAGAACTAGCTGGTTCTTGTAGAACAGGGTGGGCCCTACCACTGATACCTTAGTACTGTAGTGCAATGTTTTTGAACCGTCATTGACCTGGACGGTCAGACCATTCTGCCTGGAAACCGTCTGAGCAACTGGTTCCGTTTCACCCCCAACCCGTTCTTAGGTCAAAAACCGTTGACTTTGTCAGAAAACTGCTGAGCCAGGCGGTTGAACCGTTGACTCGTTTGACCCAGACAGCGGTTCATGGTTTAAGAAAGTTGCAGAGAAGGAGAAATTGATGGTCTGAGACACGAACTCAAATCTGAAATTCAGCACAGAGAGAGAGAGAAACTGAAGAAGACTAGAGATCTAAGCGTTGCAAAGAAATCGATCTCAGATCTGAGATCTGAGAACTCATATCTCAGATCTGCATCTGTTACCGCCGCCTCGCCGTCGCTGTCACCTTTATCGTTGCCAGTGAGCGTCGAATCATCCTCCTCTTCTTTCTTCCCTCCTTCCCTCCTCCTTCTTCCCTCCTTCTCTCCTTCCCTCCTCTCCTTCCTTCTTTTCCTTTTGTTTTGATCAGTGAATTGTAAGTTTATTAATTCATAGCCAAAGATGGTACATTTTAGGGAGAGGCATGAGATGCTACCTCCCCTTTAAGGAGGGGGAGATGGAGGAAACCATCAACCCTTTAGTTAATAAACATAACAAAGGACAAAGAAAATGACAGAGAAGCCCAATACAAGGAGACCCGAGTAGCCCCTTGTTTAGCAAGATAATCAGCCAAGGCATTAGCCGATCTACCCAACCACTGAAATCTAACTGTCATGTCCCTCAATAGCCATTTGACCTTTTTTAAGATATCCTTAAACTCCCAAGTGACAGTACCTGGGTCAGCCAACCATCCTACTACCACCTTGGAATCTCCTTCAATTATGAAGTTCTGCACTCCAAGTTGATAAGCAATCTGTATCCCCCATGCTGCAGCTAGGAGTTCAGCCCTCAGAGTCTCCTATTCCCACCGGTCCCGAAAAAAGGGCAATGATGTTGCTGTTCTCATTTCTCAGTACACCACCAATCCCATATGGTCCTGGGTTACCCTGACTACTTCTGTCAAAGTTCAGCTTAACAAAACCCTCCATCGGTAGAATCCAAGTTACTTGAACTCTAGGCTTCCTGTAGGAAGTGAGGGCAACTGTAGACCAGTTCCTCATTAAATCATCAAAGGAGTAATTATCAAAGAGCTTTAAGGATTTCAGCCACAAAATAGTCCTTGTAAGAATACACTCCTTGACCTCAAGAATACTTCTTTCCTTCTCCTGAAAAATTATGGAATTTCTCTCTTCCCAAATAGTCCAAAGGAGAGCTGCTCTTATACACTTCAAACATAATTCTCCCTCTTCTTGTGGTCCACACAAAGGTAGATGGGGAAAACAGCAAATTTACCTTAGCTGGAAAGTTCCACCTGCACTCAAACAAGTAAAAAACCTAGTTCTAAATGGCTGCAGCAAAGGGACAAGAAATCAATAAGTGATAACAGTCCTCAATTTGCATCTTGCACAAAATACACCAGTTAGGGGATAAACACAAGAAGAAAAGATTCTTCTGCAGGTTATTCATCGTATTTTGATTTTACCGTAGTAAACTTTCCAACAAAACACAACTATTTTTGGGGGAATAGGCCTAGACCAAACTACCTTAATTGGGAAAGCCCAAGGAGAGGAACTAGAGCAAAGGGAATTAAAGAAAGATGTACAAGTAAACAACCCTTTCAAAGTCAAAGTCCAAGTCCTATCAGAATTTAGTGGGTCCAAACAAACAGAATCAAGTAACAATAAGAGCTCAGAAGCTGATAAAGATTCCTCATCCCTCAACCCTCTACGGAAGCCAAGGTCCCAATTTGTAGACAAAGGGGTATACGAGGACAAAAGAAAGGAAGACACAGGTTCTTTTTTATAAATGGAAATAGAGAAGAGAGAGGGGAATAAATCCTTAAGAGGCAAATTTCGCACCCAAGTGTCTTCCCAGAAAAGAACATGAATCCCAAAACAAGCATCATACCTTACAAAGCATGGGAATTGGGGGAGGATGCCATGAATTGCCTTCCAAGGTGTTGCAAGAGTTGCCCGCCTGGACACCCCTGCATCCCAACCATTTCCGGAACAGCCATGATACTCACCACCACTGCATGCCAAAGCTTCTCCCTCTCTAAAGGCCATCTCCACAACCACTTACCTAAAAGAGCTACATTCTTGTAAGTAAGATTCCCTAATCCTAATCCTAATCCTCCTTTCTCCTTACTTCGACTACCTATATCCTACCTAATCAAATGATCCTTCTTCTCTTGCCCCGACTCTCACAAGAAATCCCTCATCGTCTTCTCTATCTTCTTAGCTTCCCTAGTAGGAATCTTAAAGATAGACAAAAAGTAAACCGACAAATTAGCAAATGTGGATTTGATCAAAGTCACTCTACCCCCCCATAGAGATATAATTCTTTTTCCAGCTTGCCTACTTCTTTCCAAACTTTTCCACAACAAGGTTCCAAAAGTGGCTCTCCTTTGGGTTAGCTCCTAGGGGAAGACCTAGATAAGTTAAGGGCCAGGACGAGGTGGAACACTCTAAGCAATCTGCAATAGCCTCCAATTCTTGATGATCCATATTGACTCCAACCACACAACTTTTTTCAAAGTTGATTTTCAGATTTGAGGCATTTTCAAAGCAATTTATTAAGTTCTTACGGTTTCTAACCTTCCTCAAATCACCACCTTCACAAAAGATTATAGCAACATTTTTCAACTATTTCTCCCTATTGTCCAACCACTCACTATCCCCTCCTTATCTTCTTTTGAAATCAATCTACTGAACACATCGGCAACAAGAGTGAATGGAAAGGGAGATAGAGGATCACCTTGTCTTGGGCCCCTACGTGCTGGGAAGAAGTCCTTAACTACTCCATTGACAATGATGGAATAATGGCAAGAAGTAAGACAACCCTTAACCCACTTGCACCATCTTTTCCCAAACCCACACTTAGCACCTCTAAGAGGAAACTCCAGTCCACCAAATCATAGGCTTTTTCAAGATCCAATTTGCAGACAAAGCCTTTTTTTTACCTAATCTCTTCATCTCCTCCACACATTCACTAGCTATCAAAATTTGATCTACTATTTGCTTGCCTTGTACAAAAGCACATTGAGCTTGACTAATTAGAGAAGGGAGTACCACTTTGATCCTCAAGGATAAGACCTTCGCCAAAATTTTGTAAACACTAGCACCAAGCTAATTGCTCTGAAGTCCTTAGGATGCTTAGTGACAGCCTTCTTGGGAACAAGAGCTATAAAAGTAGCATTAACTCCAGGGTTAACAACAAAATTATCCTCAAACTCCCTGAAGACCTCAAATAAGTCATTTTTAACTGTCCCAGCAATCTTGATAAAAGGCCATTGTAAATCCATTTGGCCCAGGAGCCTTAGATCTATCCATTAAAAAAACTGCTTGTCTGATTCATCCTCCTCAACGTTTCTTTCCAACCATCCCCTCTCCCTCTTGGAAAGACATAGTCAGTCTAGACCATCCACTTCCACCCTATAATCAAGAGGTCTTCTCAGAATTGACTTGAAATGATCAACAAAGCATCTGGCTATCTCTTCTTGAGAGGAGATTTCCTCTCCATCAATCTCAAGTTGTGCTACAAAGACAATCCACTTCCTTCTTTCCCTTTCTCTCCTTTCCTTTCTTTCCTTCTTTTCTTCTTTCTTTTTTTCTTTCTCAGCTGACAGTCGCTTCTCCCGTTCTCCTTTTTCCCTAATGCAAACCGTCCGAACCGTTCGACCCAGACGGTCGAACCGTTGACCCAGAAACCGGTAGCTAGAATGGTTCCATTTCCGGGTCGGTTTTTAAAACCTTGCTGCAGTGGATCCTTTTGCCATTTCTTTTGCAAGCCAGCCCGATTCACCATCTTGCTGGGCTTCCTCTTTGATCTTCTCTACAAGACTGTAGATGGGCCTAGAAACTTGCATCTAAAGCAACTCCTCTTTCCTGGATAGGGCACCTGCCACTGCATTAGATGGGTCAGTCTTGTATTCGATGGAGAAATCGTAGCCCAGGACCGTGAAGCCCATTTCTGCTGTTCTAGAGCGAGAGCCTGCTGATTCAACAGGTGCTTTAGGCTTCGCTGGGCTGACTGGACTGTGAATCACTGGCCCAAAAGATAAGCCTGCCACTTGTGCATTGCCAGAGCCACTACCATCAACTCCTCATAAGTGGACTTGCCTTGGGCTGAAGGGGTGAGGGCCTGGCTGAAAAATGCAATTGGCTGGCCGCCTTGCATTTGAACAGCTTCAATGCCTCATCCCGAGGCATCACACTCCACCACAAACTCCTTAGAGAAGTCCGACAAGGCTAGTCTGGGTGGTGAAGTAACCGCCTGCTTGAGGGCAATGAAGGCTTGTTCAGCCTGTTCAATCCATTGGAAATATTCCTTCTGGAGAAGCTGAGTTAGTGGTGCCGTTAATGTCCCATAATGCCGAATAAAGCACTGGTACTAACCAGTCAAACCCAAAAAACTGTGCAGGCTTTTAACAGAGCTGGGCCTCGCCCAATTGGCCATGGCTGCCACTTTATCTAGATCAGTCTTGACCTGCCCACCTGAGATGATGTGCTCCAAGTAATGTATTTCTGTCTTGCCAAAAGCACATTTACAAAGTTTAGCATATAATTTGTTGTTCCTGAGAATATCCAGGTGAATTTGAGGTGCACCATGTGAAGGCCCACGTAGGGCTGTATACTAAGATGTCATCAAAGAAGACGAGTATGAACCAGTTCAAACTTGATCGGAAGAGGTCATTCATCAGACTTTGGAAAGTTGACGGAGTGTTGGTCAACCCAAAAGGCATGACTAGAAACTCATAATGTCCATTGTGCATACGGAAAGCGGTTTTGTGCGCGTCCTCCAGGTGGACCTAGATCTGATGGTAACCCAATCGGAGATCCACTAAGAAAAATAGACCACTTGGTGTAGCTCGTCAAGCATCTCCTCTATGGGAGGAATTGAGAAGCTGTCTTTTATGGTGATTTTGTTTAATGCTTTGTAGTCAATGCAAAACCTTCAGGTTCCATCTTTCTTTCTGACCAATAGGATGGGAGACACATACGGGCTGTTGATTGGTTGTATAAGTCCCTTATCGAGCATATCTTGAACACACTTCTCTATCTCAACCCGCTGATAGAGGGGGTATCTGTAGGGTCTGACCTTGGTGGTCATGGGGTTGAGGTGTGGTGGGAGGTGAAGGTGTTCACTGAAGACATCGGCATCGTCAGACAGGAGCCATTGGAGTTGGTGATACTCCTCTGAGGTGTTAATGGGGTTGACTGGGCCAGTGAGAATGGGCTCCGACTCCATGGACCCAAAGTGGATCAAGGTGGGGACTTCTTGGTGCTGGTAGTATTTGATGACTGCCTGGGTGGTCTCGGGTGTGGGTTTGCTGGGGCACACCCCTTGTAGGAGATATTGGTTCCTGATACACATGAACTCCATTGTTAATCGGGCCCAATCACACGTTACCAGGCCCAGTTGCTTCATTCTTTGGATACCCAAAACCACGTTGGACCCTGTGAATTATAAAGGATATAGATCCATTTGGAAGAGGCCCCCTTGTATTTTCAGGCCCACCTCCTTACAACATCCATCACACCAGATATAATGTCCATTCACCACCGTAACAGAAAATGGGCTCGTGGGTTGTTTTGTGAGGCCCAACTGCTTAGTTAGGGCTGTGTTAATAAAACTCAGGCTACTCCCACTGTCAATCAGGATCGAGACCTTCTGGCCCATGATGAGTCCATAAACTCGCGTGGTCTGATGAGAGTGCAAACTGGTTAAGGTCTACAGGGAAATCTCGGCCTGTTTTGTTTCCTAGGCCTCCTGGTTCACTTCCCCGTGTGTGTACACATTTGGTTCATTGTCATCATCTGGGGGTTCATCTAATTGAAGGGCAAAGAATTGCTGTGATTTACACCGGTAACTGGGAGCAAATTTCTCATCATAGTTATAGCATAATCCTTTCTCTTGGCATGCTTGCATCTCTATCCATGTCAGTTTCTTGATGGGTACAGCTGGTGGTGGGTTAGGCTTGGGTGGCCCCAGTTCAGTCTTGGGTGGAGGGGTCTTTAATATAGGTACTGCGGGTTGAGTTAGCTGTTTAAGATGGTTGAGCCTTTCCTCCTGGAGTTTGTCTAGGCCCACTGTTGCTAACAGGGAGGTCAGTTGATCGCCTTGACCTCAATCTGTATGTTCCTATAAACCCACCATAAAACATCCTGTAAGGGCATTCTCCTGCCATCCATTGACTTGAGTGGCCAATCTCTCAAATTCGACCTGATAATCCCATATGGAACTGGTTTGTTTCACTCTTGACAGGGCTTCAGCATAATCATCAAAGCCCGATGGTCCAAATCTGATGGTGAGAACTTGAGTGATATCTAACGAGGAAACCTGGGGGTGTGTCTGGCAGTATTGCTTAACCGTCCAAGTGGATGGAAGCAACCTGCACCCTTCTTGTTGGCAAGGTCTGATGGTACTCGAAGTACCGTTCGGCTCTATAGATCCAGGGGATGGGGTCCTCACCAACCGTCGGGCAAAGCTTCCTCCCTTCTTGCTGGTGCCACTGCTTGATGCTTCTCCTTCGCTCTCCTTTGCTGGTGCTGTAGATAGTTTCTCATATTGGACCACCACGGTGGAGAGGACTTCCTTCAACTCTTTCAGGTCGCAGGCTACCTTGCTGATCTCATTCTCTACGCGGCTCATCTGATCATCCATGGGAGCTACATTCATGGGATTTAGTGGTGGACATCCCAAAATCGCTGCTCTGATATCAAATTATAAGACTGAACTTCAATGGGAGCTCGACCTCTTGAAAATGAGTTACAGTGGAGAGGTGAGAGGGGTGGGGAGAGGAAGGAAACAGAGAGAGTGAGAGCTGAGAAAGTAGGGATTTGATTATTCTCTTCTGACTAGTTCATTACATAACCTCATTTTATAATGATTAAACAGCCTTACGCTGCTGGTGCTAGCTGTAGTGGGCTGACGTGTCCTACTGGTGTAGTTATATCTGATAGGAGGCTTTTATGGAACAGTATCTCCGCCCTCTGGAACCTGGGCCTGGGCCGTGTCCTGGACCTGTGCTTGACGAGGAGCACTGCCTTGGCCCTTATCAGATTCCTGTAGTGAAGTGTGAAGACACTCCAAACTCAAAATCTGAAATTCTGAAACACAGAAAAAGGGCCATACGGCCCATACCACTCACCTACTTTATACAAGACCATCTTGCCTAACAAAATTACCGGGTGACGACAAAAATCTCCACCTGAACAACACACTGATAACCTCCTCTCTTCCCCAACATTTTAGCAAACAAGTTATACAAAAAATAACCTTAGAATGGAAAATTATGGCTTACTTAAACAGCATTTAGTGCGCACACATACATTGAGATTGTCTTGTCAATATCTAAATTTTGGCACAGGTGTACAGCACAAATGGCACTTCAGGCTTTTTGTTTGAAAATTGCCTATTGGTTAGTGGGAAATATTTTTTAGGAGATTGTATAAGCAGTGGGTTCTGGAACCAATGATAACACCCCATGCCAGTCATAAATACACGGGACCCACAACCATTCAATCTCTCGGTATTTATGGCCGGTATGGGGCGTTATCATCGGTTCCACAGCTCGCTAAACAGCAATTGCGTTCAGCTAATCCAAATTAATTTTTCAGAAGGTATTATCAATGTGCATCCATGTGGAAAAATGATGGTTTGATCTTGCAATAAGTACAGCTTGTCTAATCAGTGCATTGAGAGTATCTCATGCGCAAAATTTTGTATTAGCCCTTAAAAGTAACAAATGCATGGATAACCTCTTCTCATTGCACTGCAGGTATGTTCTTCACTTTACGTGATGCAATCAGAACTCTACTACCTGAGTTCTTTGAAGATGAACCCTTGGTTGATGAACAAATATCTAAAATAGAACTTACGGATGAAGCAAGAACAACTGAAACTAACTTGTGTCACCGCGAGTCAGAAAATGCAAGCATTTCAAGCAGTGAGGTGGTGGAAAAATCAGATAAAAGAAATACAGAGTCCTCTCATTCATCCAACAAAGTTGATATCAAGCTTGTCCGTATCCAAGGGATTGAACCAAGATTGGAAATACCATTCTCTTGGGTGGTTAACAACTTGATGAACCCCGAGCACTATCTTCATATCTGTGTTTTTGTTGGACCTCCATCAGAACAGGCGAAGACAAGATGATGGTTTAGAACTGGCTTCTGTGAGTAACTTCCCATATAAGGGATTTGTCTTTATTATTCTTTAGGCACCACAGTTCGTATTTCATTCTGTATAAAAATGTACAGTAACAATTTCTTTGACAATGTACAATGACGCAAGTCCTTTGTGCTCCCTATGAAACTGTGAATGCGTTGCCTTGATTTCTACTAGTTTCATTCTCTGTTTTTTTGGAAGCCCCCAAGCAAATCCATTGATCAAACACCAAAATTACAGTCACCTCTCATTAGTTATTACTGTTTACAGGAGATAGAAAAGGTGGGGCATAAGACCACGAGATCGGCTTCCCTCAGGGCCCACACCGTTCCAACCGCCATTTGCACCCATGCATTGGGAATATCTCTCCATGAAAGCACACAAGTATGAGATATTCTGAATGCAAGGCTGTAAAGGCTTTTCTAATGGGCTTTGCCCCGACGGAAGCTGAATTCTGTGAATTTTGCAATCATGTTAATCTTGTGTTGCCACATTGCAACCACGTGCGATAAAGGTGACAAGAGCTTCACAGCTGGCGATTGTATTTCATATGTGCCACGGGGTAGATGAGTCATCACCCAACAAAACTGTAGAAACTAAATGGGAGTCACTCAATGGAATTGGGATCCGCTCCTCACACTGACCTCACAGCCACATCCCGCTTTGTATTGGGAACATCTCTCATGAATAATAACATACAAGTACGAGAGATATTCCTAATGTGTGGCTGATACATGCAATGAGGTTGGTGCAAAGTGCTCTGTGGGGAGCAGATCTGGACTCCTCTCAACCGCTAACAGAAAAGAAATTCCGAAGGACTTGGTTAGTATAAGTCCTTCCACATTCCAATATGGCAAATGCTTCAGCTTCTAAGTTCTACTGCTCACGTGACTACGAATTGCTTGAGTCACAATCAAATTTCCTGGTCATCTCTTAGGCTCAGTTTGGAAGCAGTACAAATGCAAATATGTACAGTATAAATACATACAGAATAATACAAAGTATAAGGTTTTGCACTCTATATATTTGCATTTATACTCCTTCCAAATTCAGCCTTAGTACCATTCCAAGACCAGCTCCAGTGAGGTTATAAGAACATTCAGCATTTAACTTGAGCCAGCCTGGATCTGGCTTGGACCAAGATGGTAGGCCGTCTCCATGGGAGGAGGGAGGCCTTTTTTGTTCTTGCGTTGTAAATTTTGTATACTCCCTTGATGACCGTTAGAACTGTATATGGAGAGAAGGTAACATTTTCAAAGAAGTGTTTGCATATATTTTTTCAGATATGCCACATAGTAATCAAAGCAACGTCTAGTGTGTCATGGTCTACTCTTCGATCCAAAGTTCCAAACCATGAATGTAATTGATGTTGTAGGATCCAAGGTGTGTCGAATTGAATACGCAACAGATAATCTTGTCAAATAGACAAAGCAGAGGTGGAAGGGCAAAGTCATGCACTAAGGAGATCTCAGAGACACGAGGATGAGGTCTCCGGGAAAACACTTGATGCTCAAGTCAATAATAGGGTGATGAAGTCGATCGGACTAAGCTGTAGAGGATGAGCTGGTCCGAGTCGAGGAGAATAATAAGATAGCAAGAGAGCTAGAGAGTTTAGACAGTTGAAGATCCTTTACCGTGAGGGGGAGATGCCTTTAAATAGAGGAGTGTCTATTGTAACCGGACAGGCTTCTTGTGGGGTTATCGGGATGAGGTTGTCTGCCAAGGTCTTCGGGAAGCTCTGCCTTCCCCGGTGAGAGCGCTTCTTGTCCATGTGGGATTCTGCTCTGCAAGGTCTTTGGTGGTGTAGCTCTTTGCTTGTAGGTGGACAATGCGCTGACAAAGTCCGAGGGCATCGATCATGAAGGTACCCACTTGGCAGCTTCGTCCAGCTAGGGCACCACCCGAACAGTAATGAAACCAATCAAGTGTGCCAAACCCGTGATGAATATCGGTTCTTAGTGTGAGCGGGCCCCTGAACCACATGGATTTGGCAGTTGAGCAAGTAAAAAGGCAATGCTATACGCTTTCTTCCTCATTACATATCAGGCTCATTAGCGAAACTTTTGTGCTTTGATCTGCTAGGAGAGAGTTAACTAGGAGGGTGCCCTGCAGGCATCTCCAACCAAACATTAGAATCCTTGGAGGTAGATCGGATCTTCTCCAAAAGTTTTCCAAGTCAAACCAGGGAATGCAAATGCATAATTTGAACTTTCTGCTCTTTTATCAGTTAAAAGATTTTTCATTGTTGGCTTAATCGAAAGGTGTGAAGAACTAATATGCTCGGTCAAATCAAACCCAAAGTGCTCAATCAACAAATCGACTCTCCAGAACATATTAAAATGATTGATGAACTCAGCTACTTTCAGAGATGAATGTTCTAAGGTCTCAGGAACAAAATAGGGGGGAATCCATGAGACCACGACTCCCCATCAGCAAAGATACTCCACCCATTTCCAACAACCCAACGCACATTATTTGCGAGATCCCCACGGCAAGAGAGTAAGCAAGACCAGAAGTAGGAGGATAGATTTCTTTGGGAGTGACCAAAAAGAACTTAACACTGAGATCAAAAGTCCCTCCTCGCCCCAAATTAGACTCCAAAATCTTTCATTATAAGTGCTTTGTTTACAGTCACCAAATCTTTAACGCCCAGCCCACCAAGTTCCATGAGTCAAGAGAAACTTTTCCATGCCTTCAAATAGAAGCCTTTCTTCCCTTCTTTGACGTCCCACAAAAAATCTTTGAAGATGTGGTTTAGATGCTTTCCCACCTGTTGTGGCAATAGAAGATTTGACATGTGGAAAAGAGGAATGGAAAAGAGAGTGGGTTTAATTAATACTGATCGTCCTGCATGAGAAAAAGAGAGTATCAGATTTCCAACTTGTATGCTTTCTCCGCATTTCTCAACCAGGAACTGAAAATCACTTGCTCTCTTTCTTACAAAAAAGTGGGCTACCCAAATGATAAATCTCACTTTGGTTAGTTTCCTTGACTCCTAATGCATGGGTGATTGTTGTCTCAAATCTCAATCTAAGGTGAGTGCTTTGGCTCGAGGTTCAATACGCGTATCGGCCTGTATCGAAGCTGATTTCTCATTTTCTTTTTAGTTTTTTTTTTTAAAACCTGGTTCAGAAGGGGTCAATTTAAGGCTAATCTATCCTTTGAACCGGGTTAAACCCTGAAACACTCTCTATAAGGGCATATTGAGAAGCAAACCTGCTTTTGGATAACTGACTTCCTGTCTAGACCATGAGCAATAAGGGCATTAGAGTGCTAACTTCGTCCATCTCAGCATGTCCAAAACATGATATGTTTTAATTTGAGGGTTCCTCGGACAAAGTTAACTTCTTTCAATTGTCCAGATTTAAGACCTTGTAATAACGATCTCGACAACACGTTTGTTGCCAATATGAACACACAAGGAGAAAGAGGGCAGCCGTGCCTAAGTCTTCAGTTTGGGTAGAGAAAATCACCTAGTACTAGTACTACACCATTTAGAAGGATTGCCATTCTACCAATGCTGATGCAACGCATTATCAAGTCACAAAATTTTGTTGAAAATCGCAGAAATTCCAACATCCTTCATGTAAAGCACCATTCCATTTTATCATAAGCCTTGGCTAGGTCAATCTTTATTAGAAATCTCCTGTTGCCATGTCTGTGTTTCATCAAAGTTTGGATGATTTCATGGGCTACAATTTTGTTGTCAGTTATGTTTCAACCCTGTATGAAGGCTGACTGAAAGGGTGAGACTATCTTGTATCACAGAGGCTTCAGGCGATTTGCAAGTATTTTGGCAATGATTTTATTATAAGTAACATTGGTCAGCTCAATAGGCTTGAAGTCTCTAGCTTCCTCAACGTACTCCATCTTTTTTTTTGTTTGGGTATCAATGCCACGTAGGTATCGTTTAAAAAAGAGATTCTTTCAGTTTGTATCAAAGCATTCTGTATAACCTGAAAAGTTCTGTTTTTAATTTTGAGATTTTTAATTTTATTTGTAACTTGTAAATTATTTGTAATTTTTTTTAATTTTATTATGACATTTTTTTTTATTTTATTATGGAAAGAGTATAAATACAAATATGTAAAGTGTAAATACATATAAAATAATATAAATATAAGGTTTTGCACTCTACATATTTGTACTCTTTCCAAACTGAGCCTAAATTTCTTCTGCTAAAGTATAGATGAGTTCCCCAGGTCGCTGTCTTGCTGCTCCCTGAGTTTCCATGGTTCCACCTGGGTTCAACGCTAATTTAATCTGCTTGGTTGCTGCTGCCTGCTGCTTGAATTTTCTGCCTTTGATTGCATCATTGCAGATTATTCAAAGAACAACCCATAATTTTATACTGGTTGGGCTTAGATTTGTGTTTATGGATTGATTTTGGGCTCAAAGTTTGGATTTTTCATTTTTCTGAACGGGCCTAAGCCTAATCCTTGAAGATCTCAAGTCCACCCTGCACCCTAACTCAACCCAAGTGCCTCAAATTTCAGCGCAAGTTAGGTCCATATTAGACAAATCAGGCTTAATTTCAAGTTTGGGTCTCAGGCCCAATTCTTAGGGTTGGATTTAGGTTAAGCTTAACTCTCAACTATCATGTTTGAAGTATGAACCGTATTACCGTATGAGAAGAATGAAAGAGTTCATTTTTTGCTTTTCAGCTTCTAGAGATTCAAGAGCTCATTTTTAATTGTTGAATCAGAGGTCACCGGTTTTGACTATTAGGCTTAGTTTTGAAGGAGCACAAATATAAAATAATAGAAAATACAAGATTTTGCACCCTACAAATTTATATTTGTACTTAGCCTTATGAAGAGAAGAACGAGAGACTTACAGAGAGTGAGTTAAGATTTGAAACCCATTATCCTGGTTGATCAATGTCACGGACCCACTAATGGGCCATTAGTGGGCCCACTTATCAAATGTGGTTTAAATTAGAAGAATTAAGTAGTGGCATTTTTTCTGTTAGTTGTTGGGCCATGCATGTAGTGGAGAGCCACGTGGCCCAGTTATGAAATTTGTTAGTAATTTGTTCCTTATTTATGGGTCACTTAGTAGTGGGAGAGTGTCATGATTAGTCACGTAAGGTAATGGGTTATGGTTAGTTGTATGAGTCTGTATTTATATTTCCTTTGTTCTTTGAAAGGATATCAATTGAAGAATTTTCTTTAGA